ACTTTTTATATGTTAAAAAAAAAATCTGAAGTAGAAATTTAAAAAATATATATTTTTAAAAATATCTTTCATATATTATGTAATATATAAAAAATGCATTTCAACACGGAATACATATATATATATATACACAGTGAAGGAAAAAAGTATTTGATGCATTTCAACATGGAATATATATATATATATGTACCAGGGGCGGACTGACCATTTGGGAACTCGGGCACTGCCCAAGGGCCCAGGGTCAGTAGGGGGCCCCATGAGATGCCCCTGGTACCTTTCATAGGATTTTTTGGGTGCGGTCGTGGACACAGGGGCCCCATGATCCCTTATTGCCCAGGGGCCCCATGAGTTGTCAGTCCGCCCCTGATATATACACAGTGAAGGAAATAAGTATTTGATCCCCTACTGATTTTGAGTATTTTTCATATAGTTATTAATATATAAAAAATGCATTTCAACATGCTATATATATATGAAATATATTTTAAAAATATTCTTCCCAAATATATTGACATATATTTGAAATACTAAAATTTTGGCCGTATTCAATATATATATACTGCATGTTGAAATGCGTTTTTTATACATTACAAAATACATGAAAAATTATTTTAAAAATATATTTTTTTTAAATATATTCTTCAGATTATTTTTAACATATAAAAAAGTAATTTTAACATATATTTGTGAATTCCAAAAATGTAACTTGTAATTTTTAAAGACATACAGTATATTTGAAATGTATTTTTAAAAATATTTTTTTTCATATATTTTGAAATAAAAATGCATTTTGACATGATATATATATATATTTATATTTATTTTTTTTTTTAAATATATTTTGAAATATATTGAATACGGCCAACATTGTAGCATTTCAAATATATGTCAATATATTTGGAAAGAATGTTTTTAAAATATATTTCAAATATATTTTTCTTCCATATGGGACCTTCTGGTATTTTTTTTACGAAACGACTTCCAAGTGGGTCAATCCACCTTCATTATCATCACCTGATCAATCCCAGTGTTGTCAAAGCAATTAAACCCAATGGGGCTGTTGTTAGAAACCACGGGGCCCCATACAGCCAACCTGACAACCCCCCCAAAAAAAAAACCCCCCACAGTTTAGGGAGACATGCTGTGCAGAGAGATACAGAGCAGCATGTCCTCGCTGACAGGGGAGAGATCTGTGTTGTTTACACCCAGGTCTCTCCCCTTTCAGCTTTGCACTGTGATCGCTGGGTGCCGGCGGTTCAATTGTGAACAAACACAGTGAGTCATCTGTACCGATCACCAGGGCCAGAGCTTCCACTAGGCAAACAAAAACATTTTCTGACTCTGATGCAATTGGGGACTCCTAAGGCGACTCTGATATAAGAGGGAACTCTGATTGGGACTTAATGTAAGGAGAGACTTTGATGGGTACCCTGGTGTAAAGGGGGCTCTCATGTATTGGGAGACTCTAATGGGGAATCTGATGTAAGGGGGGACTTCCATTTTTGAGGAGACTCTGTAAGGGGGGGGGGGCTTTGATGGGGACTCTGAGGTAGGGGGGGGGGACATCTAAGATTGACTGATGCAAGTGGGGACTCCTAGGGGGACCCTGATATAAGAGGGAACTCTGATTGGGACTTAATGTTCCGAGGGACTTTGATGGGTACTCTGGTGTAAAGGGGGCTCTCATGATTGGGGACTCTAATTTGATAAGGGGGACTCTGAGGGACTTTCTGTGTGGGGACTACCTGAATGTAAGGGGGGGGGCCTCTAAGATTACTGATGCAAACTCCTAGGGGGGAGGGACTCTGATTGGGACTTAATGTTCCGAGGGACTTTGATGGGTACTCTGGTGTAAAGGGGGCTCTAATGAACTGGGAGACTCTGATTGGGACTTAATGTAAGGAGGGACTTTGATGGGGACTTTGATGTAACAGAGACACTGAGGTAAGAGTGGACTCCTAAGGTGGATGTAAGGGGGAGGAGCCTCTGATGGGTACCCTGATATAACAAGAACCTCTGATGGGAACCCTGATGTAAGAAGGGAACCCTCATGTCAGTGCAGGAGCATTGTCGTGGTGGAGAACCCACTTGTCAGGCCAGAGTTCTGGTCTTTTCCAGACTCCCATAACCTTTCCAGAATTAATTTCCAAGTAACACTGCTGGTTGCCTGTCCTTGCTTCATCGTGGACACCTCCCCTCCCCTCCTTGAACCGCCCACGCCACACAAACACAAATGATTTCTTCATAAATTTCAGGTGCGATTTCGATTCACAAATTGCAGTGAAATCACAACGGTCACTAACACAGCGATAGTTGCTAAAAAATATACACCGATCAGCGAACGAATGACACTGGATGGGAAGGGGTTAACATCTGGGGTGATCAAAGGGTGTGCCTAGCTACCTGCTCCATGTACACTAGGTGGCGCTTTTAATATGGGGAAGTGATAGATTGTGTTCCCAGCTCTGCAGAGACACATGATTCATGACTCCCCAACCGTCACAACAGAACTGTATAGTATTACAAAAATTAATAAAAAATGTTCCGGTATATGTTCCATAGTTTGCAGATATTTAATCAATATATAAAAATATATATTTATATATTGATTAAACGTATATTTCTAAATATGTATATTTCTAAATAATATATATATATATATATATTTATAAATATACAATTATAAAAAGATGTGGCAGAATACATTTTGGAATAAATTTATAAAGAAATTTTTTTTTTTTAATTGAATATGTATTAGAGTAGAAAATAAAAAAAAAAATGTTTTTTTTTTTCAAAATGGTTAGTCGTTTTTTTTTTGGTTTATGATGCAAAAAGTAAAAGAATACCACAAAGGTGATTAAATACCGCCAAAAAAAAAAAGCTCTATTTGTGGGGGAAAAAAAGGACATACATTTTATTTGGGTGCAGCGTTGCATGACCGTGTAATTACCAGTTACAATAATGCAGCGCCGAATCACAAAAAAATAGCCTGGTCAGGAAAGGGGAGGGCAAGTGGGGCGCACTTGGAGCACTTTTTTTAGGTGTTATTTATTATATATGAATTGTGTTATTTTTGTTTTATATTGAATTTTTTTTTTTTTTTTTTTGGGGGGGGGGGCATTTTTTAGCAATTTGTACTTTTTTGAAAAGGATGGCACGCTGTTTGTTTTGTATTTGTCACTCGTATCCAGGGATGGGAGACTGAAGAAATGACTCCTCCTTCTACAAAGTTACAATGTACAGTCTAAACCCTGGGGGAGGGGGGACTGAGGAAATGACTCCTCCTCCTTCTACAAAGTTATAATGTACAGTCTAATCCCTGGGGGAGGGGGGGGGACTGAGGAAATGACTCCTCCTCCTTCTACAAAGTTACAATGTGCAGTCTGATCACTGGGGGAGGGGGGACTGAGGAAATGCCTCTGCCTTCTTCTACAAAGTTACAATGTACAGTCTGATCACTGGGGGAGGGGGGACTGAGGAAATGCCTCCTCCTCCTTCTACAAAGTTACAATGTACAGTCTGATCACTGGGGGAGGAGACTGAGGAAATGCCACCTCCTCCTTCTACAAAGTTACAATGTACAGTCTGAACCCTGGGGGAGGGGAGACTGAGGAATCAACTCCTCCTCCTTCTACAAAGTTACAATGTACAGTCTGATCACTGGGGGAGGAGACTGAGGAAATGCCACCTCCTCCTTCTACAAAGTTACAATGTACAGTCTGAACCCTGGGGGAGGGGAGACTGAGGAATCAACTCCTCCTCCTTCTACAAAGTTACAATGTACAGTCTGATCACTGGGGAGGAGACTGAGGAAATGCCACCTCCTCCTTCTACAAAGTTACAATGTACAGTCTGAACCCTGGGGGAGGGGAGACTGAGGAATCAACTCCTCCTCCTTCTACAAAGTTACAATGTACAGTCTGATCACTGGGGAGGAGACTGAGGAAATGCCACCTCCTCCTTCTACAAAGTTACAATGTACAGTCTGAACCCTGGGGGAGAGAGACTGAGGAAACGCCTCCTCCTCCTTCTACAAAGTTACAATGTACAGTCTGATCACTGGGGGAGGAGAGACTGAGGAAATGCCTCCTCCTCCTTCTACAAAGTTACAATGTACAGTCTGATCGCTGGGGGAGGGGAGACTGAGGAAATGCTTACACCCTGCAGCAGACTGCTGACATCATCTCAGCCTAGGCACAGTCACTGAGTGGAGCTCCAGGACCGCTTTTGAAATCTCAAGGTCACCTAAATGTTCTAATTGCATATTGACCTTTGTGGGCGGAGTTCCCCTTTATCTCGCCGCAGAGCGTTTCTCCTCTTTCGCGGTGACTTCGTACGTTCCCCAATGAAGAGCGATCGGGGCCCGGAGGCTCCTCTACATCCCATTGAGTTCTCTTTGCTTGTAATTTATAAGAATTGAGAAGTTTTGTCTCTCTCAGCGGCGAGCGTTTCATCACGTCTGTCAGCGCTCATCTGTTGGCGGCTCATTGATGAAGCTGTGCTGTCTCCGCACCTGCCGCTACACGTGTCTCCAGATGTCCCCATCGCCCGCATCACCGCCTGACCCATTTATATTCCTTCCACGCCGGCAACGGACGCCGATCGCTGGCTGCCTGTCCTGTGCGACGGGACCGGCCTGAGACGAAGAAAGAGAAAGCCGGGAGAATCCTGATGTACTGGAGCCCATTTCATTTCTTGAGTCCCTAAAACTCCAGGACGGTACAAACCCCCCCAAATCAGGACAGGACATGTCAGGACAAACAAAGCCCCCCAAATATCAGGACAGTAAAAATCCCCCCAAATGTCAGGACAATACAGATATCCCCCAAATGTCAGGATGGTACAAATCCCCCCCAATGTCAGGACAATACAGATATCCCCCCAAATGTCAGGACAGTACAGATATCCCCCCCAAATGTCAGGAAAGTACAGATATCCCCCAAATGTCAGCACAGTACAGATATCCCCCAAATGTCAGGACGGTACAGATATCCCCCCAAATGTCAGAACAGTACAGATATCCCCCAAATGTCAGAACGGTACAGATATCCCCCAAATGTCAGGACGGTACAGATCCCCCAAATGTCAGGACAGTACAGATATCCCCCAAATGTCAGAACAGTACAGATATCCCCCAAATGTCAGAACGGTACAGATATCCCCAAATGTCAGGACGGTACAGATCCCCCAAATGTCAGGACGGTACAGATATCCCCCAAATGTCAGAATAGTACAGATATCCCCCAAATGTCAGAATAGTACAGATATCCCCCAAATGTCAGAACAGGACAGATATCCCCCAAATGTCAGGACAGTACAGATATCCCCCAAATGTGTACAGACAGTACAGATCCCCCAAATGTCAGGACAGTACAGATATCCCCCAAATGTCAGGACGGTACAGATCCCCCAAATGTCAGGACGGTATCCCCCAAATGTCAGGATGGTCCCCCCAAATGTCAGGACAGTACAGATCCCCCAAATGACAGGACGGTACAGATATCCCCCAAATGTCAGGACGGTACAGATCCCCCAAAGGACGGTACAGATATCCCCCAAATGTCAGGACGGTACAGATATCCCCCAAATGTCAGGACAGTACAGATATCCCCCAAATGTCAGGAAAGTACAGATATCCCCCAAATGTCAGGACAGTACAGATATCCCCCAAATGTCAGGACAGTACAGATATCCCCCCAAATGTCAGATAGGACAGTACAGATATCCCCCAAATGTCAGGACAGTACAGATATCCCCCAAATGTCAGGACAGTACAGATATCCCCCAAATGTCAGGAACACAGATATCCCCCAAATGTCAGGACAGTACAGATATCCCCCAAATGTCAGGACAGTACAGATATCCCCCAAATGTCAGAACAGTACAGATATCCCCCAAATGTCAGGACAGTACAGATATCCCCCAAATGTCAGGACAGTACAGATATCCCCCAAATGTCAGGACAGTACAGATATCCCCCAAATGTCAGGACAGTACAGATATCCCCCAAATGTCAGGACGGTACAGATATCCCCCAAATGTCAGGACAGTACAGATATCCCCCCAAATGTCAGGACAGTACAATATCCCCCAAATGTCAGGACAGTACAGATATCCCCCAAATGTCAGGACAGTACAGATATCCCCCAAATGTCAGGACAGTACAATATCCCCCAAATGTCAGGACAGTACAAATCCCCCCAAATGTCAGGACAGTAGACAAATCCCCCAAATGTCAGGACAGTACAGAAATCCCCCCAAATGTCAGGGACAGTACAAATGACAGGACGGTACCCCCCAAATGTCAGGACAGTACAAATCCCCCCAAATGTCAGGACAGTACAAATCCCCCCCAATATGTCAGGACAGTACAAATCCCCCCCAAATATCAGGACAGTACAAATCCCCCCCAAATGTCAGGACAGTACAAATCCCCCCAAATGTCAGGACAGTACAAATATAAATCAGACCCCCCCAACTGTCAGACAGTATAAATACCCCACAAATGTCAGGACAGTATAAATCCCCCCAAATGCCAGGACAGTATAAATCCCCCCAACTGTCAAGACAGTATAAATCCCCCCAAATGTCAGGACAGTATAAATCCCCCCAAATGTCAGGACAGTATAAATACCCCCCAAATGTCAGGACAGTATAAATACCTCCCAAATGTCAGGACAGTATAAATCCCCACAAATGTCAGGACAGTATAAATACCCTCCAAATGTCAGGACAGTATAAATACACCCCGAATAATAAGGCATCATTCAGTGTTTACTATTATGATTAGTTGTGATTGACCACAGCTAATCACATGGTATAGATGGGCTGTGATTGGCCCTAGCTGTACCATGTGATCACTGTGACCAATCACAGATATCATCACAATAGTACACAATGGATGACATGACTTGAAGCCTTCCATTGTGTACAATTTTCATGTGATCTGCTGTGATTGGCCACAGTGCTCACATGGTACCAGCAGCTGGCTGGTACAGGGATCTTTCATGGACTGTGTCCAGTGGGGCATGTGCGAGGTGCGATCCTAGGAGGACGTCATGTGACTATCATATAACAGAGCTCCGCCTCTTGTAATCCTGGGAGGAGGTCATATGTGATCCTATTATCCTGGGGGGATGTCATATGATGTCCTCCCTGGATCACACCTCACGCGTGTGCCCCATGGGCCACGCTCCAGGACAACTTGTGACACAGCCAACGTCAGATCACTGTACCAGTCTGCTGGTGCCCGGTACCATGTGCTCTCTGTGGCCAATCACAGCAGATCACATGTCGAGGGGTTAATCCATTTCAGCACGTTCATCAGCTGATTTAAGGGCGGCTTCACACTGCCCCACGGCACTTTGGCTGAACCCACATGGAAGAAAAAATATATTTGAAATGCTACAATTTTGGCCACATTCAATATATTTCAAAATATATTTATCAATAAATATATATATATATATATACTGTATGTTGTAATAAATACAAATCTAC